ATAAAAAAAGGAGAGGTTGGGAGCTTCAGTCACCCGCCAGCCTGAAAACGGCCCTCAGCCCCTCACCCAGACTGGCCAGGCACCCCAGTGAGGACCCCCACCCTGATCCAGGATACCCTTCAGGGCAAACCAGCCGGCCCTCACCCGTGCACCAGGCCTCTATTCTATATAGTAAAAGGGTAATATGCCTCCCAGCACCGGGATCAGCGGAGCAGCGAGGCCTCCCGGCACCGGGATCAGCGTGACGGGGTAGCGACCAAGCCCCCTGATCACCCTGCAGCTCTGTGTGTGACAGGGGGTGGGGCCATAACCTCCCTATCCCCCTGCTCTGTTCGTGACAGGGGAAGGCGCCCCACCCCCTGGATCAGCCCTCCTCTGTGCCTGATAGGGGGGAGCTCCCCAACCCCTTGATCGCCCTGCGGCTCTGTGTGTGACAGGGTGTGGCCCCCCAACCCTCCCCCCCCCCCCACGGGCCCTGCTCTGTGTGTGACGGGGTAGAGCCATAACCTCCCCATCGGCCCTGCCCTGAGTGTGACAGTGGCGGCGCCCCAACCCCCTGATCCGCCCTGCTCTGTGTGTGACCAGGGGCGGAGCCACAACCTCCCTATCCGCCCTACTCTGTTCGTGACAGGGGAAGGCGCCCCAACCCCCTGATCAGCCCTGCTCTGTGCCTGATAGGGGGGAGCTCCCCAACCCCCTGATCACCCTGCAGCTCTGTGTGTGACAGGGTGCGGTGCCCCAACCCCCCCCCCCCAACGGGCCCTGCTCTGTGTGTGACAGGGGGCGGTGCCCCAACTCCCCTATTGGCCCTACTCTGTGAGTGACAGGGGGGAGCTCCTCAACCCCCTGATCGGCCCTGCTCTGTGCATGACAGGGGGGAGCTCCCTAACCCCCTGATCGGCCCTGCTCTGTGCGTGACAGGGTACGGAGCCCCAACCCCCCTGATGGACCCAGCTCTGTGCATGACAGGGGGCAGCGCCCCAACCCCCTGATCGGCCCTGCTCTGTGCATGACAGGGAGTGGCGCCACAACCTCCCTATCGACCCTGCCTTGAGTGTGACGGGGCAGTGCCCCAACCCCCCAATCGGCCCTACCCTGAGCGTGACTAGGGGTGGCATCACAACCTCCTGATCCGCCCTGCACTGTGCATGACAGGGGGCAGCGCCCCAACTCTCCATCGGCCCTGCTCTGAGCCCGACCAGGGGCTGCACCTAGGGATTGGGCCTGTCTTCTGCCACCCGGGAGCAGGCCTAAGCCAGCAGGTCATTATCTCCCGAGGGGTCCCAGACTGCGAGAGGGCACAGGCCAGGCTGAGGGACCCCCTCTCCCCCCCGAGTGCACAAATTTTTGTGCACCGGGCCTCTAGTCTATTATAAAAGGCCAGTGGCTATAATGTGTAATGACCAAACGACCAGTCATCAGGTGCTCCATGCACCTCTCGGGCACTCCCCTGCCCCAGGGTGCCGGCAGGCAGCGTCAGCAGAGCGTCAAGGGGTGCCGGCAGCATCTGCGGAGCGTGCAAGGCTTCGAGGGGCAGCGGACATGGCCCTAGATTGCAGGCTAGGCCTAGGGGACCCTACATGTGCACGATTTAATCATGCGCTGGGCCACTAGTATAAATATAATTTAAAATTATATATATATATATGCGCTTTTGGGGGCATCATCTACATCAGAAATCACTGAACAAGAAACTTTGTCTTCCTTTTCATTTATATCTTTGGAAGATGCAGTATGCAGTAGATTGTCAACAAGAGAGGAATATAATAACTGGTCTAGAGTTAGTGCAGCATAAATACAGGGTGAAGCAAAATTAGGTTTGCAGTTGTTTGAGTGGAAAACAATACAATATTTAAAAAACAATAATGCAAGAGTAAACTCTGTTTCATGTACTCAAAACTGTGAACCTACTTTTGCCTCACCCTGTATTTGTAAAGTGAGAATAAGTGAAAGCAAGTAAAAAAGTAACTCTGCAACACCTCTTTTATGGAGATCAAAATGTCTATTAATTATCCCATTAATGTAAATTACTGTAGTATTAAAGACTTCGATGTTAGAACTGAAACTACAAAATTCCTAGATGACAATATCATCAGTAAGCTCTTTGACATTGTTCTCAGCAATATCTTTTGGGCTACATCTCCTTGAAACAAGGATAACAAAGGAAAAAATAAACATCAAACTAAAAAGTTTTTGCACAGTGAAAGAAACCATCAATAAAATGAAGACAACCAACTGAGTGGGAGAAAATATTTGCAAATGACACATCCAATAAGGAGTTAACATCAACATTATATAAATAACTCACACAACACCAAAAACAAAACTAAATAATTCAATTAAAAGATGGGCAGAGGACTTGAATAGACAGTTCTCTCAAGAGGATATATGGGTGGCTGAAAGACATATAAAAAGATGGTCAACATCACTAATCACCAGGGAAATTCAAATTAAAATCACATGAGGTATCACTTCATACTTGTCAGAATGGCTGTCATCAATAAATTAACAAATAACAAGTGCTGAAGAGGATGTGGAGAAAAGGGAACCCACTTTTGGTGGGATTGTAAATTGGTGCAGACACTATAGAAAACAGTATGGAGATTCCTCAAAAAATTAAAAATAGAACTGTAGTAGAACTAGCCAGCAATTCCACTTCTGGGTATTCATCCAAAGAAAACAAAAACACTAATTCCAAAAGATACATGCAGCCCTATGTTCTTTGCAGCACTACTAGTAATAGCCAAGATACGGAAGCAACTGAGACGTCCATCAGCAGATGAATGGACAAAGAAGATGTGATATGGACCTAGAGGATACTATGCTAAGTGAAATAAGTCATACAGAGAAATACAAATACCATATGATCTCACTTATATGAGGACTCTAAAAAAACAAAATAAATAACAAAACAGACCCACAGATATAGAGAACAATCTGATGGTTGCCAAAGGAGAGGAGGTGAAGGAATAGAAAGAAGAAAATTAAAAAAACATAAATTCTTGCTCATGGTAGGGCACGGATAATACATGAGGCAGCAAAATATATAGTATGGCAGATGGTGGAATGTGCTGAGAAGAGTACTGGGGGTGAAGAAATGTTTTGAGTTTTAAGTATGGTAATAAAGTAAGGAGGGCTGTTATGGCTCAGTTGGTTGAGTGTTGTCCCGTGCACCAAAAAGTTGCTGGTTCAATTCCTGGTTAGGGGACATACCCAGGTTCAATCCCTGGTTGGGGTGCATATGGAGGCCACCAATCTATATTTCTCTTTATCCTCTTCCTTACTCTCTTAAATCAATTAAAAAACATATTAAAATAAGGAGAGCTTCACTGAAAGCTAACATTTAAAAAAAAAGTAATTTACTGTGGCATTTGACTACAGGAAAAAGAACAAAACACCAACAGGTCCTCCTGTATACGAGGTCCTCAATCTGTATTTGTTAAATCTGTCTAAAGGAACAAGACTAATATAGTGGGGCCTTGACTTAACGAGTTTAATTCGTTCCGAGACCGAGCTCGTTAAGGAGCTCGTTAACTCAAATTACTCTGTCAACTCAATGCAAAACATCAGCCGAGAGACAGCTGGTATCTCAAAAAACTCATTAGTCGGGACACTCATAAGTCAAGGCTCCACTGTATAGTGCCCATCACACTTGACACCCTTATGGCAGTCCTTACTTTGAGCCCCAAGATTTTCCTCTCTTACTTGCTCAGAACCAGTTTTCAGAAGAACCAGTAAAGAACCGATGATTCAGTAGCTCTGGTGTCCGAATGCTAGGAATCCTGAAAAGGTAAAAGAAGCATCGGAAATTGCCCTAGACCAATGGTTCTAAACTTATCAAATAAGAGAATGACCCATTTTTAACATCAGAGAATGTCCAGCTTCCCTCCCCATTGCATCCTACAATTTGATTGTGCTATACTTTTAGTATCTGTTGATTAAAAGAAAAAGACATAACCATATCAATCCAGGTGGCCTCTTACAATGGAACCTTGGCCCAAGTATCTTCAGCTTACCTGAGGAGGCCACCACCATTTTAGATGAAATTTCTTGTGGCATAAATGAGGCACAGGAGCATTAGTGATTAAGAAATAACCAATGTGCAATCCAGAAAAGCATAGGATGTTTAAATAGAGATTTGAAAATATTCAGAAGTCACAACCAAGTCGACCTGAGATCTCTTGCTCAAAGAAACATGCCCACCCCTGATTAATAGATTTCATTCTTGGGGAGGCAGAAATATTTTTTTAAAATTTATTTTTGTATAAAACTTTTATTTTTTCATTACAATTTACATTCAATATTATTTTGTTTTAGTTTCAGATGTACAACATAGTGGTTAGATAATCATATACTTTACAAAAGTGATCCACCCAATAGAGACACAAATATTCTTGTTTTTCTTCCTTATTATTTTCATGTGGCACTTTAGTGTTAATTTCATCACTAGCTTCATGGGTATTGTTGAGAAATCTCCACTCTGAGCACTTGCAATGCTCTTTACCCCAGGGAAATGCCTTCATGGGCTGCCAGATGAAACACGGGATGCCTAGTGAAATTTGAATTTCAAATAATGCATGCAATATATAGGGCATACTTCTGTTAAAAATCATTTGTTTACCTGACATTCAAATTTCACTAATATGCTGTACTTTTGTCGTCATTGTGGCTAAATGTGGCAAGTCTACCTCCAGACGTTCAAAGTGGTACCAAGTACTGAAAGGGAGGAACTGAGAATGTGGGTGACATTTTTGCACAGCTGTCAACAGTGGTTCCTGACACATTTTTCTGGTGATCTTTCAGGTTTCTGTCAAAGGGAGGCTCGTGTATAGTTTTCTCAGGGAGTCTTGCTGTTCTTCATGGACACACAACCCAGCTCAGACGCTGGCAGCCCAGGCAGCAGTTACTCATCCTCCTTATTCCCTCAGCTCATTCTCATCCACATGAACACCTATATCTGACCTTCTGGGGAGGGTGCGGGGCCGGGGGGGGGGGGGACGATGGGGGGGCGGGGAGTGGAGGGGAGACAAGCGAAGGTAAAGATTTCTTTGGGATCAAGTAATGACTTTAAGGGTCAAATCAGGGGAGAGGGGAGAGAGCAGGTAGGAAGGAGACTTCCACTCACTCAGACCCCGCATTTCCCTGTATAGGAATAAGGGCATTTCCTGTGCAGATAGTGAGCTGTAAAACACTCCACTTTCTCTTCTCTGAACTTGAATTTAAAGGAGGTTGGAGTTTAGATGCCTTTATCTAATTTTTTCTCACAGGTTCTCTCTCCCTTTATAAGTTAGATTCAAACGAAAAGTTGACATTGGATCCTAATCTTTTTTTTTTTTCATTTTTAAAAAATGTATAAGATGGGGTATTTTAGGATTTTTTTCTCACTTCAATTATAAAATCAACAAATTTATTCCAAAAAACATGCAAAATCCTCTTTGAGGAAGACGTGGTTGCTGCAGTGCAGCTCTGTCCGCTGGCTCCTGACTCACCGGTGTTCGTTCTCCGGGAGAACAAGTGGGTCAGGAAGCCGCGCCGCATACCGCATACCGGGAAGACAGCCCTGGAACCAGAGGTGGTGATTCACCGAATTAGAATCACGCTAACCAGCCGCCACGCCAAGTCCCTGGGGAAGGTGTGTGCTGACTTGATCAGAGGCGCAAAGGAAAAGAATCTCAAAGTGAAAGGGCCAGTCCAGATGCCCACCAAGACTCTGGGAATCACTACAAGGACGACCCCCTGTGGGGAGGGGTCTAAGACTTGGGATTGGTTTCAGGTGAGGACCCACAAGCGGCTCACCGACTTGCACAGCCCTTCTGAGATTGTCAAGCAGATGACTTCCATCAGCAGTGAGCCGGGAGTGGAGGTTGAAGTCGCCAGGCTTTTTAAATCAGGCTTTTTAATAAATTGGCTATCAGGTGTTAAAAACAAAACACATGCAGAATACTACGACAAAGGCAAAGACACAGATGGTTTAAATGACTATTCACATTGAAATTCTGTCACCTCAAGGCAGACCTGTGTAACAGAATAACTTTTCATAACATGTTCTAGGGGTCAGAGTGTTTTTCTGTCCATGAGGTTTGGGGGAAAAAGCACTGAAAATTAGATTTCTTGTTGGATAGGATTTTGTTTCCTGCCCAGAAATGGGATTTTGAAGGTTCCTTTTATGAAGTTCTGTGATGGTGAATGCCAGTGTCTGCCCTCTCCTCCCCAAGTGAGACCTCAAATGTCTGGTTGGTAGGGGGTGAATATTTGAAATCAGAGGACAAAAATTAAAAATGGAGCAGTTAGTGGTAGGCTGTAACAACTAATAGAAGACAATAAGTGCTATAAGGCCGTAGCATATGAGTTGGCATAATAGCAGCATTGCTTTGCTTCATTCATGAAATATTTTTTAGTGCAAGCTTGGTGCTTTGGTCAGTAAGGAGCTCCTGGCTGCTGAGATGAGACTGAGTGTAACAGTGGGAGAGAAGGGCTATGGTAAAGACGTGCAGGTGCTGTGGGGCCAGGGAGGGTACGGTCCAATGAGACTGGAAGTTCAAGATCAAGGGAAGAGTCACCTCCAAGGCAAGGTCTTTCCAGCTTTAACTTCTTCCTTGTGAGTCTTGGGGTCACAGCCTTGGGTTTCTCAGGGCAGTTTGATTTCTGTTCTATCATCAGACCTCGTGACCAAACAAACAAATTTCTTTGGTTTGTGGGTGGGAAACAGGCTCTTCCACGGGATCTCGAGAAAAACATTTCACGGACCCACGCACGGGAGACTGTGATGTGGCATGGTGTATTTGTGATGTAGTATCAGAAGAGTTCTTCTCCTGGCTTGTGTTGGTTTTGTAGTTTTGCTTATATTTAATTTATAAATTGCTTTTATTTTTATAGTTGTCCAAATATGTATTTTTACTATTTAAGAAAATTTATAATTAAAACAACTTAAGTCAACACACTGGCTCTGAAAGAACTTCTTTTTCTTTTTCTTAAAAGGTCTACTTATAACTCAGGTTTGAGAAACACTGCCTTGTCCCATTCTGGCTTGCATAGGGCTGTTAGCCAACCCCACAGTCAGTGCACTTTGTCTTAAGGAGTGACCTCCTGTGGAGGGTATTTGGCATCTAATGGAGTGTGCCTGGGGACCAGGAACACTCAAAGATAAAGAGCTGTATTGGGGAAAAGGTGTTTGTGGGCCTCGTGCCCTCCCTGACGTCATCCTAAACCACAACTGCCCCCTGTGTACCTTTCACTGGTGCCTTGTGAGCTCTGGTCAACGGAGAATGTTAGGCCATACCTACACATTACCAAAACGACTCTTTGTTAAAATAAAAGGCAAAACAAAAGCGATCCAAAGCAGTCTTCTCCGATTTTAATGGGCTGAGTCCCCTAGGGATTGTTAAAATGCAGATTCTGACTCACATGATAGAAGATGGGGACTGAGGCCCTGGCTGGTATGGCTCACTGGATGGAGCGTCAGCCTGCGGACTGAAGGGTCTCAGGTTCTATTTTGGTCAAGGGCACATGCCAGGTTGCGGGCTCGGTCCCCAATGGGGAGCATGCAGGAGGCAGCCAATCAATGATTCTTCTTCATCATTGATGTTTCTCTCTCTCTCTTCCTCTCCCTTCCTCTCTGAAATGAATTTTTTTTAAAAAAGAAGAAGAAGGGGCCTGAGAAGTGGCATTTCTATCCCTCCTAGGTGGGTAACTCCTTTGTGTTTATGTCACAGTCATCTTTCTTGACCTTTCTTAGATAATGCATATAAAGCCCTTAGTAGAGTGTTTGATACAGAGTCAGCATTCAATAAATGTTCATGATTCTTGTAATGATAGTTACAATTAGCTTTTGAGGCACAGAGAAGGGTGGATGTAATGGGGAAGAGGACGGGTGTATAGAGGTAGACAGACTTGAGTCAGGATCCTGCTATTGCTATTTACAAGCTATTTGACCTGGGCAAGTTAGCCTGTCAAGTCTCTGTCCGTTAATGTAAAATGGAGAGGAAAATACTCTCTCATAGAATTGACAGGACTCTATACACTCCTAGAGTGGTGGATGCCCAACAGATGTCATTTTTCCTCCCTTTTGAACATAGACTTGGGGCTGAGTCTTGGTTCTTTCATGACACTATTGTGAATTTTGTTGTAATCTTTTTTTAAAGTTAAACCCTTTATTGTTTAAAGTATTACATAAGTCTCCTTTTTCCCCCCATTGACCTCACCCTGGCCGCTCCCACCCCTCAGCACATGCCCTCACCCTTCTCCTGTCTGTGTTCATTGGTCCTGCTCATATGCATGCACACAAGTCCTTTGGTTGATCTCTTATCCCCTCTCCCCTGCCTTCCCTCTGAGTTTTGATGGTCTGTTTTATGCTTCTCTGTCTCTGGATCTATTTTTGTTCATCAGTTCATGTTATTCATTATATTCCACAAATGAGTGAGATCATGTGATATTTATCTTTCTCCGACTGGCTTATTTTGCTTAGCATAATGCTTTCCAGTTCCATCCATGCTGTTGAAAGTGGTAAGAATTCCTTCCTTTTTACAGCAGCATAATATTCCATTGTGTAGATGTACCACCATTTTTTAATCCACTCATCTGCTGATGAGCACTTAGGCTGTTTCCAAATCTTAGCTATTATAAATTGTGCTGCTATGAACATGGGGTGCATATATCCTTTCTGATTGATGTTTCTGATTTTTTGGGATATATTCCTAGAAGTGGGATTACTGGGTCAAATGGAAGTTCCATTTTTAATTTCTTGAGGAAACTCCATACTATTTTTTCACAGTGGCTGTACCAGTCTGCATTCCCACCAGCAGTGCACAAGGGTTCCCTTTTCTACACATCGTTGGCAGCACTTGTCATTTGTTGATTTGTTGATGATAGCCCTTTTGACAGGTGTGAGATGGTACCTCATTGTTGTTTTGATTTGCATCTCTCAGATGACTAGTTACTTTGAGCATGTTTTCATGTGTCTCTTGGCCTTCTGTATGTCCTCTTTTGAAAAGTGTCTATTTAGGACCTTTGCCCATTTTTTTTATTGGAATGTTTATCTTTCTTTTGTTAAGTTGTATGAGTTCCCTGTAAATTTTGGAGATTAAACCCATATTGGAGATAACATTGGCAAATATGTTCTCCCATGCAAGAAAGAAATGGGCTTTCTTGTTTTGTTGATGGTTTCTTTTGCTGTGCAGAAACTTTTTATTTTCATGTAGTCCCATTTGTTTATTATCTCTTTAGTTTCCATTGTCCTAGGAGCTGTATCAGTAAAGATATTGCAACAACATATGTCTGATATTTTGCTGCCTACGGATTCTTCAATGGTTTTTTATGGTTTCCCATCTTATATTGAAGTCTTTATCTATTTTGAGTTTATTTATTTACCTATTTATTTATTGTTTTTTCTTATTTTTTTGAGTTTGTTTTTGTGTATGGTGTAAGCTGGTGGTCTAGTTTCATTTTTTTTGGCATGTATCTGTCCAGTTTTCCCAACACCATTTATTGAACAGACTGTCTTGACTCCATTGTATGTTCTTGCCTCCTTTGTCAAATATTAATTGAACATAATGGTGTGGGTCGATTTCTGGGTTCTCTGTTATGTTCCACTAGTCTATATGTCTGTTCTTGTGCCAGTAACAGGCAGTTTTGAGGACAGTGGTTTTGTAATATAGCCTGATACCTGGTATTGAGATCCCTCCTACTTTGTTCTTCTTTCTCAAGATTGCTGTGGCTATTCAGGGTCTTTTTTATTCCATATGAAATTTTGGACAGTTTGTTCTAGGTCTGTGAAATATGCCGTTGGTATTTTAATGGGATTGCATTGAATCTATAGAATGCTTTGGGTTGTATGGACATTTTAATGATGTTGATTCTACCATCCATGAACACGGTATATTCTTCCATTTGTTAATGTCTTCCTCTATCTCTTTTTTCAACGTCCTGTAGTTTTCTGCATACAGGTCTTTTACCTCCTTAGTTAACTTTATTCCTAGGTATCTTAAATTTTTTTGTTGCAATGGTAAATGGGATTTTTTTTAGTTTCTCTCTGTGAGTTCATTATTGGTGTAAACAAAAACCATAGATTTCTGGGTGTTAATTTTGTATCCCGCTATATTGCCAAATTTATTTATTATGTCTAGTAGTTTTTTAATGGAGTCTTTAGGGTTTTCTATGTACAATATCATGTCATCTGTGAATAATGACAGTTTTACTTCTTATTTTCCAGTTCGGGTTCCTTTTATGTCTTCTTCTTGTCTGATAGCTCTGGCTAGCACTTCCAGTACTATGTCGAACAGGAGTGGTGAGAGTGAGCATCCCTGTATTGTTCCTGTTCTTAAGGGAAATGGTTTTAGTTTTTACCCATTGAGTATGATGATGGCTGTGGGTTTGTCAGATAAGGCTTTTATTATATTGAGGTATGAACCCTCTATTCCCATTTTGCTGAGAGTTTTTATCAAGAAAGGGTGTTGGATTTTGTAAAATGCTTTTCTGCATCAATGGATATGCTTATGTGATTTTTGTCTCTCAATTAGTTTATGTGATGTATCACATTTATTGATTTGTGGATATTGTACCATCCTTGCATCCCTGGAATAAATCCCACTTGGTCATGGAGTATGATCTTTCTAATGTAATGCTGGATCCGATTTGCTAGAGTTTTGAGTATTTTAGCATTTATATTTATTATGTATATTGGCCTGTAATTATCTTTCTTTGTAGTGTCTTTATCTGGTTTTGGATTTAGGTCAATGCTGGCTTCAAAGAAAGAGGTTGGAAGTGTGCTTCCTCTTGAATTTTTTTGGAATAGTCCGAGAAGGATAGGTTGTATTTCTTCTTTGAATGTTTGATAAAACTCCACTGTGAAGCCATCTGGACGAGGGCTTTTGTTTGCTGGTAGTGTTTTGATTACTGCTTCAATTTCTTCCATAGTTATTGGCCTATTCAGGTTTTTCGATTCTTCCTGATTGAGTTTTGGAAGCTTGTATTTTATTAGGAATGTCCATTTGGTCTAGGTTGTCCAGTTTGTTGGAGTAGAGTTGTTTGTAGTATGTATGTGTGTGTGTGTGTGTGTGTGTGTGTGTGTGTGTGTGTGTATATATATATATATATATAATCCTTTGTATGTTTGTGGGGTCGGTTGTTACTTCACCTCTTTCATTTCTTATTTTGTTTATTTGGGTCTTTTCTCTTTGTTTCTTGGTGAGCCTGGCTAGATGTTCATCAATCTTGTTTATCCTTTAAAAAAACCAGCCCTTGGTCTTATTGATCTTTTGTATTATATTTTTGGTCTCTATGTTGTTTATTTCCACTGTGATCTTTATTATTTCCTTCCTTCTGCGTATGCTTGGCTCTTCTTGTTGCTCTCTTTTTAATTCTTTAAGTTGTAGGGTAAGATAATTGATTACCATTTTTTTTCTTGTTTTTTTGAGGTAGGCCTGTGGAGCTATGAACTTCCCTCTCAGGACTACTTTCACTGTGTCCCATAGATTTTGGGTTGTTGTGTTTTCTTTTCTTTTTTTTAAATTAAATCTTTATTGTTCAGATTACATTTGTTCCTCTTTTTTTTCCCCCCATAACTCCCCTCCTCCCAGTTCCCGCCCCACCCTCCGACCTCACTCCCCACCCAGTGTCCTCATCCATAGGTGCACGATTTTTGTCCAGTCTCTTCCCGCATCTCCCACTCCCCTTTCCCCCCCGAAGAATAGTCAGTCCATTCCCTTTCTATGTCCCTGATTCATTATAATCACCAGTTCATTCTGTACATCAGATTATTTATTCACTTGATTCTTAGATTCACTTGTTGATAGATGCATGTTTGTTGTTCATAATTTGTATCTTTACCTTTTTCTTCTTCCTCTTCTTAAAGGATACCTTTCAGCATTTTGTCTAATACTGGTTTAGTGGTGATGAACTCCTTTAGCTTTTCCTTATCTGTGAAGGTCTTTATCTGACCTTCAGTTCTGAATGATAGCTTTGCTGGATAAAGTAATCTTGGTTGTAGGTTCTTGGTATTCATCACTTTGAATATTTCTTGCCATTCCCTTCTGGCCTGCAAAGTTTCTGTTGAGAAATCAGCTGACAGTCGTATGGGTATTCCCTTGTAGCTAATTGAGTCTCTTTCTCTTGCTGCTTTTAAGATTCTCTCTTTGTCTTTTGCTCTTGGCATTTTAATTATGATGTGTCTTGGTGTGGTCCTCTTTGGATTCCTTTTGTTTGGGGTTCTCTGCGCTTCTTGAACCTGTAAGTCCATTTCTTTCACCAGGTGGGGGAAGTTTTCTGTCATTATTTCTTCAAATAGGTTTTCAATATCTTGCTGTCTCTCATCTTCTGGTACCCCTATAATTCTGATGTTGGTGCGTTTGAAACTGTCCCAGAGGCTCCTTACACTATCTTCGTATTTTCGGATTCTTTTTTCATTTTGCTTTTCCGGTTGGGTGTTTTTTGCTTCTTCGCATTTCAAATCTTTGACTTGATTCTTGCGCTCCTCTGTTCTGCTATTGGGTGTCTGTATAATATTCTTTATTTCAGTCAGTGTATGCTTAATTTCTAGTTGGTTCTTTATCACAACATTGAGGGTCTCATTAGATTTCGTGAGGCTCTCATCAAGTTTATTGGCAGCTTCTAGCACATTATTGAAAGCCCTCAAAAGTGCGGTTTTTAGCTCTATATCCTCCATTTCTGTCATGTTTTTTTGTCTCCACATTTTTTATGCTTTCTTGGTGCACCCCCTTGTGGTCTTTGTGCGCAGTCTTGTTCTAGTTAAGCCTTGATTGTTGTAGTTAATACTAGAGGGATTTGACCACCAGGCTGACTGGTTGTGAGAATCAGCTGTATCTGCAGTGGGAAAACTGTCCTCTGGAGAGGTGCTAATCTAGCCTTTGCCTGAGGCTATCCGGCTAATGGCTCTGTGCAGGGCTTGGGCGGGGCGGGATCAACAGGGCGGGCGGAGGGAGCGGTTATGGCTGCTCTCAGTCCCATTCCCAGAGGCTCTGCTTCTCAGAACCCAGCAACCGCTGCAAACCTTGGAGAGTAAGCTGCCCTCACGTTCCAACTGATGCCAGACAACCCCGCTTCTCCCGTTTGAGTCTGAGTCCCTAGAGACTCGCCCGGATCTGGAGCTCAGAGTCTGAGACTCCCTCCTGATTGAAAACGACAACCGCGCCCTCAGCCACCAGCCAGTTCCACGCGCACCTCCGTACCTTTGTATTTTCCACACTGCGCCTCCTCTGAGCCTCAGTATGCTGTTCTCTTTCCTTCTAGTTGAAGAATCTCTCCTCAGCCAGCCTTCCTGTGGTTCTGGGTGATGTCCGTTCTGTCTTTTAGTTGTATTTTTGAAGTGGTTGTTTGCGGCAGCAATCTCCAGTGTTTACCTATGCCGCCATCTTGGTTTCTCCGGGTTGTTGTGTTTTCATTGTCATTTGTTTCCAGGATGCTTTTCATTTCTTCTTTGATCTCTTTGGTAACCCAATCATTGTTTAATAGCATGCTATTTAGTCTCTAAGTGTTTGAATTTTTGGATTGTTTTTATTGTAGTTGATTTCTAATTTTATGCCATTGTGGTCTGAGAAGATGGTTGATATGATTTCAATCTTCTTGCATTTGAAGAGACTGTACCTGTGCCCCAAAATGTGGTCTATCTTTGAAAATGTCCCGTGTGCACTTGAGAAGAATCTGTATTCTGTAGCTTTGGAGTGAAATGTTCTGAAGATGTCAATTAATTTCATCTGATCTAGTGAGTCATTTAGGATTGCTGTTTCTTTGCTGATTTTTTGTCTAGAGGATTTATCTAGTGGTGTCAATGGGGTATTAAAGTCCTCTACTATGATTGTATTGCTGCTGATCTCTCCCTTGATATCTTCCAGAAGTTTTTTTATGTATTTGGGTGCTCCTGTTTTGGGTGCATATATGTTTACTAGAGTTATATCCTCTTGTTGAATTGCTCCCTTTAGTATTATGAAGTGGCCTTTCTCATCTCTTGTTATGGCCTTCACATTGAGGTCTATATTGTCAAGTATAAGTATTGCTACCCCAGCTTTTTTTCCATTTCCATTTGCCTGAAAAAATTTTCCATTCCTTCACTATCAGTCTGTGTGAGTCCTTTGTTCTGAGGTGGGTCTCTTGTAAACAGCAAATATATGGGTCATGTTTTCTTATCCATTCAGCTACCCTATGTCTTTTGATTAGAACATTTAATCCATTTATGTTTAAGGTTATTATTGATAGGTACTTGTTTGTTGCTATTTTTATTCTTTATGCCTGTGTTCCTTCTTCCCTTTCTATTTCTCCTTTTTACAGCAGTCCCTCCAGCATTCCTTGCATTGCTGGCTTGGTGTTAATAAACTTCCTTAACTCTTTTATGTCTGTGAATCTCCTGATTTCACCTTCAATTTTGAATGGTAGCTTTGCTGGGGATAGTATTCTTGGATTCTATCCCTTGCTTTGCATGACTTTGTATGTTTAATTGTATTCCCTTCTGGCCTGATGTATTTCTGTTGAGAAATCAGTTAATAGTCTAATGGGAGATCCCTTGTAGGTAAATTTCTCTCTCTCGCAGCTTTTAAGATTCTTACTTTGTTGTTGATGTTTGCCAATTTAATTATGATGTGTCTTGGTGTCTGTCTTTTTGGGTTCATCTTCTTTTGGACTCTGTGTGCGTCTTGGGCTTGTCTAGATTTTTTTCTTCTCAACATCAGGGAAGTTTTCTATCATTATTTCTTCAAACAGGTTTCCTATTCCTTGCTTCACTTCTTCTTCTTCTAGCACTCCTATTATGCAGATGTTGTTTTGTTTTATGTTGTCCCAAAGCTCTCTTGGCTCTCCTCCTGCTTTTTTAAGTTTTCTTGCCAGTTGTTGCTGTGCTTGGGTGGTTTTTCTACTTTGTCTTTTAACTTGCTGGTGCAGCCCTCAGCTTCTCTTAGTCTATTGTTGAAACTTTCTACTGTGTTCTTTTTTTTTTCCTAAAAAAATTTATGCAGACATTTCATTTGTACACAATTCTTAACATATGTAACAAAAAATGTAAAGTCATGTAGTTGTGATTCTTTTCTAAACAGTTATTCCAGTGACTTTCCAGCTTAAAATTTAGAGGCTAACTTTACTTAATAGAGTATCAAGTACCATTATCTCCAAATGTTGATATGCTGTTACATCAAAGTCCCACTGATTCACAATTTAATATCATGTGTACTACACAATCAAATTTTCAATCTTTCACAGCACATTGACAAAGTTACTAGGAAAACTGGACTACCACATCAAAGATGTTACCGATGCACAAAATTCTGACAGGAAGAGCCAAGATCAAGGAGTAGTTTTCTTTAGGAAATAATTCTACCAAAAACATGTGAATAGAAGTAATTTAAAATACTCAAGACATAGCAAATGCACAACTGACTCCAAATTGCCATTTAGTATGCTTTGTATTATAGGATATAAACACTACCCCCATCTATGGAATATGAAGCTGAAACCCAAGACAATCAAAGTCCCCCATATTCAATATCCCACTATTTTCTGGTTGTACCAAAAAACAAACAACCAGCAAATGATTTCACCTCTTAAAAAAAGCACTTACACTTAAAAAAAATGGGATAAGGTGGAATTCCCTCCTTTTAAAAAATGTTTCTAGAGCTACTAAAAAACTTGCATTTATAAAATAGTTGATAAAAAGATTCCTCTGGATTGTACAAGAAGGGAGACAGGGACCACTGATAAGACATGGAATATGACATTGTTCAGACTTGGCTTCTTTTCCTCCTGCTTCATCTGAGGTTGGACTCTCCTCGTTTTTAG